CTCAGCGGCCTGCTGGGGGCCTGCCATGACCCAAAGCTGTAACTCAGCCAACTCGGTAGCTCACACCTGTGACCAAGCATCCCCAGCTCCTAGGTATTCAGGCGCTGTGTCGGGCTGCCCCTGCTCCCCCTTAACTCTACAGCATCTTTTAATAGTATCTACATGTCAATCTTATCTACTCAACATGCTGGGACCATCCTTCCAAACACGGGACCATCTACTACCGTAACAAGGACCACCAAAGTCAAAGGAAGCATAGTCAGTGCCCACCTCAGGCAAATTCCTTTACCTCCTCTGCCTCAGTTTCCCCATATGTGAAGTGAGGGTACCAATGGAACCCTCTCAGAGTTGTGCGAGGGGAAATGAGTTAACACCTGTAAAGCACTTACGACAGGCATGGCTTATAATAGAGGCTCAATAAGTATTATTTTCTTGTAACAGTCTTGGTGGTGGTGGTGATGGTGAAGAGATGAATTAACTCATGGAATTTTCACAATGTTTCCATCAGATGGATTTTTTTTTCTTTTTTGCCTCATTTCACGCAGTGAGAAAACTAAAAGCTCAGAGAAATTGAAGTGAAGCCCCAGGCCCACTACTCCCCAGTGGCAGCAGACCCTGAGCCCATGCGGAGGCACCATTGCCGTGGGGTCTCCTCCCTGCCCGCGGTTAGGAGTGGTGGCCTCATCCTGACAGAACAAAGTCACTTGATGCCTCCAGCATCTGTGCTCTGCAGGGTGTCCCCTTGGCCGGCGAGGCCCAAAGACTCAGCCTGCAGTCCCCCAGGCTCTCCTGGCCGACCACCCAACCCCGGGGGGGATCTGGGCCCCGCTTTAACTGTGACCTCACCAAGCACACAGCAGAGTTGCCAAAAGCAGGCGAGGCAAACAAGGGCCAGCTGATCATTTCACTCAAAGAAACGAGAGAAGCCGTAGCTTCCTCCACAGAAACCGTGCTTTCCAGCAGCCGGCAGGGTGGGCGTGGTCTCAGCGATCCCTGGATCCAGAACTGAAGAGACAGTCTAGGACTCCTGACTTGTACTCAACACGCAGACCCTGCAGTATGGCCCCTGCGTGTCGTTGACACCCTGTGCGAGGTGCCCACCCACCCCAGGTGACTCCCTGACCACCAGGGCCTCATCCCTAACTGCAAAACGGGCGCCAACACAGTGCCCCCTCCTGGCGCCGTAAGCCAGCACGTACATATAAAGCAGACACAAAGGGCAGTGCCTGGGACAGGACAAACAGGAAGGACGAAAGAAGACACCTTGTTCTGGGCGGAAGAGCCACAGAGAGTTAGAAGGAAGATGCCGCAACATCCGTCCCGGTCACCCTGGCAACAGGCTGAGGGGTTGCGATGGGGAGGCACAGAATGAACACATACTGAGAACTTATCTCCGCTAAGAACTAACCCAGGTGCTTTCTATGTGAATTCTGATTCATTCTTCATCCATTCTTTCAGGTCCTATTTGCTGTGCACCTACTCGGTGCCCAGCATTGTGTGGGAGGCTGAATACACGGCAGCGAACGAGGCCGGCAGGGCCCCTGGCAGCATGGAGCTTTTAGGCTTGCAGGGGAGACCTATCACACCATGAGTCGGTTATAACCACAATAAACGCTGCAAGAGGAGTGCAGAGCCTTGGAACATGACAGAGGGACCGCTTGCGGGCTGTGACCTTTCTGAAGGAGGTACATTTACCGGAGCTCTGAAACATCCGGGAAACTAACCAGGCGAAAGGTGGGGACGGGTTCGCCAGGCTGCACCGCAGCACGAGGTGGGTGGGGTGAGAGGTCGGTCGTGGAAGGCACTGGAAACTGGAAGACAATGTGTCTTGATCCTGGAGGCACTGTGAGGCCACAGAGGGTGACAGGGTGGCTGGGATGGGGCCAGGAATTTAGAACTGCATCCGTCTGTTCTGTGCAGTGGTTCTCCAAGGGTAGTCCTGGACCGGTAACCTCAGCACCACCGGGTAGAAATGCAGATTCTCTGGCCGTGCCCCAGAGCTGCTGCATCCGAAATCCTGAGGGTGGGACCCGGCTACGGAGTAACACCTACTTAAAGGATTAGGGAGACTCTTTTGAAAGTGGGCACCAGCTTGCCTTATGCTAGAATATTATTTCCATGCAAAATCGACCCCAAACTCTGGGCTAGACCTCGTGTACATTTCACATTTCCTCTACTTCTGCCTCCAAACCCACCGTGAATCTCCCCAGCTTCCTTCCTCCTTCAGAAAAGTCTTCTCAGCACCCCCCCACCCCAACTTCGGCTGCAGAGTTCTCTCAATGCGCATCCCCCCCCCAGCTCCTGCCAAATGTCTTAGTTTCCTTTTCCTTTTGTCTCTGCTAATCATTTAATCAGACATGGCATTTGGGGCACAAACAAAAGCATGGCTATTACAGCAAGACTTTAAAAGAAAATCTGAAGATATTGAGAAACGCTATGAAAATGAGAGATAACCATGGGGGGAAAAAAACACATCTGGGCAGAGTTTAAAATGACCAGGCGTGCTGGCCTTGAGCAAACGTCACCGTGGGGAGCCACGGCGACAGTTTTCTAACACAGGAGGAATGCCCTTTGGAGAAAGGGATCCGTTTTCCACTCATCAGCGAGCACAGAAAAAGCAGGACCTTCTCAGGTTTCAGCTGAGAAAGCATCTGTCCTGTGTTTAAGCTGTAGGAGGGGAGGGAGCTGCCAAGAGAGCTGGTGAGATCATCCTCGCCAGAGATGCTCTCGATGAGATCACAGCGGCCAGGGTCCGTGAGGGATGACACATCGGCCGTATCTGGACCACATGGGTCTGAGGCCCGTCCAGCTCTGCAAGGGGTCTCCCCGTCACCGGGCAAACCCACCTCCCAAACAGGGCAGGTGCCGACTCACAACCATTGTGTTTCGCTTCAGATACTCAGGAATCCAAGGGACACCAAGCACCTCTGCAAAACGTCTCAGATCGCCTGGCTGCCTGGAGGCCAGGACTCCAGGCATTTGTTTCATAGAAAAGCCCATTTACTCCTTTCCCACAGCCAACGCCTATCTCCCCAGTAACAGCAGCAGGAGCTGCCATCACATCAGCAACAGCTCTGAGCGACAGGGCCCTTGCTCTGTGCCAGCAACACACTCACATCCTCACCCAGGCCTCACCATCATCAGAAGGCCCATTTTACAAATGAAGAAATTGAGGCTTAAAGAAGGCTACTGATCTGCCCACGCCCCCATGGCTGGTCACATCCAGGCTGAGGTCTGAGCCCGGGGTTCTCTGATTTCAGAGCCCACGATCGTGATAAGGCCTGTACATTGCCAGGAACGAAATGTGTGTGTCAGATGCCCAAAAAGGAATTGACCCAAATGTGCCCTCTTCCCCAGACACTCCGGATTTGGCAGGGGCTGGCCCCTTGATAATGCTCAGGAAAATGGAGAAGGGGTGCCTTTTAAAAATCAGCCATTCTGTGTCCTCTCTCCCCACCCCCACTGCTCCAGATCTACTGATACTTAGAAATCAAGTCTCTCCCAGAAGGCCCCCCGTGCCCCATCTACACCACCCTATGCCTGCCCCCCAGGACTCCACCACTGGCCTGAATGGGCGGACCGGTCCCTGGCAGTGTGGACATCCTTCACACGACATCACCCACTCCAAAACGTAACAGCACAGGGTTTCTACGGCACCTTTAGAGCCACGAACCAGCATGTGGTTTTAATATTCACCAGCACTCTCCTCAGAGGGGCCCTGAGGCTGCTGTGATCAGAGGGGCTATTGTGCAGATACGGCTGTCCCCGCTTCACAGAACCCTGATCAGATTTCCGTCCCATCTTCTCTACGGTGCAATTCTGGGCTCGTCTGCTTTCTCTCCTCTTGCCTCCTTCTGGAGTCTGGAAAATGGCTGAAACGGTGTCTATCACAGACTTGGAAGAAGTATTTTCCTCCGTCCTTTGCCGCTGTGCCAGCACCTTGGCCTCACCCCTGGGCCTGCATCCTGAGGCTCTCCTGGGGCCTCACTGACTCAGCCGGTTCAGCTGAGACCCGCTGAGCCACTGTGGACCTGGGTCTTCAGAACTGAATACGCACCCCACTCACTTTGAAGAGCCACCGAAAACAAGCACATAAAGCAGCGCCCACGGGCAGGCAGATGGTCACTGGCTCAGGACTGAGGGTCACAGCTGCACCCGCTGACGGGAAGGGCACCACACGAGACAGCTCGGTCAGGCAGGCTTCCTGTGAGCAGTGCAGTCCTGGCAGAAGGGAGAAAGGAAGGATTTTCCTGCCTTTCAGGTGGCTGCACACTGATGTCAGGCCTGGAGTCAGGTGAATGAAACTTATTCCTTCTTGATGGAGAATCTGGGTTCAAGCCACAGATGGATATTCACGGGTATGTTAATTCTCCTTCCAGCTTCCCCAAGCTCAGTGGAGCTTAAGAGATACAGAGACGGGGAGGGACCAGAGAACAGACAGTGCAGTGCCTCGAGGAGCAGGCAGCCTTCCAGAGCTCTTCTCTCCTGGCTGCTTTTTCCAAACCAAGACAGAGGGGGGGCGGGAGGAAATGGGAGGCAGAGTTGGCTTCTGGAGGTCTGGCCTCATGAACTCCTGCCTGTGATGGTGACTGTCACACGCCAACAGCCGTGCAAGCATCAGTGCCCCCAGTGAATTCAGCCAAGGCACGCGGGCCCTTAGCCACGAGTCAGCTCTTAGCTGCTTTTCCAGAAGACGTGTCTGTTCTGAACAACCAATTCTCCCGGGACCATCTTTAGTGGCCCTGTTGCCGCAACACCTATGTTCCACCCAGCGTAATCAGCAGCACACATCTGGGATGCGGGGGGATGGGACCCCATGGTAAGAAGGCTGCAGAAAGGTCCTCTGTGCAGCGCCAACTGGCACTCACTAGCATCTAACCAGCAACCCAGGCCACCTTACACCAACCGTGGCTCAGGCAGCTCAACTCCTGACATTGTTACCCACCCCTGGGACAGGCAGAGAATAAATAGCAAGGGAAATTAACATCAGAGTCAGTTACCTTCATAGAGCCTGTAGCTTAGAAAGTCACAGCCAGTCTCGAAGGGGTCAGCACCGCCAACATGGCATTGAATCTTGCACTCTTGTCCTTAATGGGGGAGTGGTACTGCCCATCTGGAGCCACAGAACCAAACCTGCAGTGGGGGAGAGGCAGGTGGAAAAGAGAGATGGGGTTCATGTAAGAGAAGAACATGGTGCCTAGAAATGAGGTCAGGTGGCTCCCACGAGCACACACAGGGTTCCCCATCCTGGATCCTCCCTCACAAGGCAGCAGTGTGGGGAGCAGGACAAGTGCCTCCCCAGGAGATGCTGAGAAAGGCTCAACTCATGGAAAGTAAGAGCAGATTTCCCGCCACTACTACCCTGCAACTCAGCAGTGGACTCTGACAAAGAGAGGCATGAGGACTGCCATCCTCAAACCAACACCAGAGCCTGGCTGTAAAGACTGCACATCAATCCACTGTGTGTGTGTGTGTGTGTGTGTGTGTGTGTGTGTGTGTGTGTGTGTGTGTGTGTGTGTGTGTGTGTGTGTGT